CCAGTCATTAGGCGCCGCCTGTCAAGAAAACTCCACTTTTATTAAAAAAAATATTTAAAAAACAGAGTATAGCCGCGCGGCGGTACTATTTTTAAAAATAAAAATAAAAAGGACCCTCCAGCGATTAGACGCCACGTGTCACTATATTATTTTTGATAAAAATATCGTAGTATAGCCGCACGGCTATACTATTCTAAAAGGTCTATCTATACTATTTAATTTATAAATGAAAAAAAAGAAAAGAGGACCCTCCAAGTTTCATTGGTTTGTACTTTGTTGATATTAATAAGCCACTATATAATATTTTAGTATAATTTTTATAACATATATTATTCGTATTCAATAATATGTGAGAATTACTTGTATAATACGTGAACTTTGTGTGAATTATTGAAAATCTTGTAAAAAATATGGGTATTAAGCATTAGAAATGCGTATGTACATGTACAATACGACTATTGTACGTTTGCTTTTTAAAAAACAGTAGACATGTATAAAATACGAATGTATTATTGACAAATACATACGAATGTATACATACATACAGTATACATACGAATGTATTGTGACTGCTAAGATTGTGGTTGAAGGAGAAACATATGTCATCACCAACTACGATTGCTATAGGGTTTGGGTATGGGTTGATAAAGATGATCGACTTGTCACAAGGCCTCCCATAATTGGTTAATTAGCTAAGATAGAGCTTGCATTTCCATTCTAATTATTCATTTTACTTTCGATTATTTGTGATTGTTGTTCCTTTCTAAATGTTGAATTAAGGAGTTTGTAAATCTCCTTTTCGTGTAATAAAACTATATACGATATTTATAAATGTGAACTAAATTAGTTTGTCAGGATAATGTCCTCCCTTCTATAAATTAGATTAATTTATAGTTATATAGATCCTCGTTTGTATTAAAATGAACACTGCATACAATATTTGCTTGTAATGAGAGAGGAATTTAATTGAAGGGTATTGCTATCAGAGTTGACATACTAAGTAAAACATAATAATCTTATGTTGTTTTCATTTCCTTGCCTGCGATGATACATGAATGGCCAAGCCCTTCTATTTGATCAATTTAATGGAAACTCATGATCACCATAGTTAAAACGCCGAACCAAAAGTCACTTGACCTTAACCAAAAGATGCTCCTACTCAAATTAAGAATGAATGTACGTAACGTGTGCAGCCAGTGGCGGACCCACAGAGGCGCAAGGAGGTGCATTGCACCTCCTCTCGCCGGAATTGCGTAGGGCTCGCAAGTTCTCATGGTGCTGCTCATTTAGCAGATGACAAGTTGCAGAGGCGTTCTTAATGGAGGTTGAGGCGCTGCCTCACGAAGGAAGAAGAAGACATAATACCCTAATTTTTCTTTTTCTGAAACAGCGTCGTAAAAAATCTAGTTTCGTTATGTTTAATGAAACGCAGTGTTTCACTAAAGTTGGTTTCTCAAAGCCATTGGAAATACAAAATTTCTCCAGTGGGCCCACTACCCAAGCCATTAAAACCAAAACGTCACCTACACTAAACCCAAAAAGAAAGAACAATTGCTCAGCCCAATTAAAATCAAAATGTTGCCTATTAAAAACTTAGAAATCTCAATATAATATAAGATTTTATTTTGGTCCAAAAATATAATAGAATATTATACAACAAACAAAAACTCTTTTAACCCATAACCAGTCAATATAATAGAATATATTCTAATAGATGTTTTTTGAGTATTGAGTTTTGCCATATCAAGTGCAAGTTTCTCTAAATTAGGCATCACAATTTAACATTTTCTTATGAAATAAAGGGAATTAATTTTTTTTTTTGAGCTTTAAACTTTAAAATATTGCCCCTCCCTTCAAAAAAAAGTCTGGATCCGCCACTGTGTGCAGCCATAAATAGTTTTTTTTATTTACTTGAAAATAATGAATGTACGTAACATTATTTTCTCATAAGACTGCTTGCAAGTATCTTATAATTTAAGTGATTAAAATGTATTTATCTATGTACTCGAAAACCTGGATCATGTGTTTAATAACTCTTTAGAAGAAGAAGCTAGAATAAGAAGATGAATAGCAGAACAAGAAAGAGAAAGAGAATCTGAAATCAGAATGTGCATTGACTTTTGTTAATGCACAATCAATGCCAATATAATTCTAAAAGCATCCTTATCATCCCTTTCCTCCTTTTCCTATTGAGAACTGAAGAAAAAAATATGAAGGCTCCATTTGTCATCGATTGGGTACTCTTTTCTGGATTATTTATTTGTATCCCTTGTGCACACACAAGAAAGAGAATCTACCTTGGTTTCTCTTTTTGGATAAATAATCAACCACAATTTCCCAATCACACGTCACATATGTATTTATTAATTCATCTTCTTAAAATAATAATAATAATAAAAACAAAAAAATTCTTGACCTCCTGCCAAAATGTAGTATATAGTCAAACCTCTATTTATCTCCGCCGGCCACACACAAATCCAAAGGCTAAAACATCCAAACCCATCCCACTTCAAATACCCGTTTCCTCCCACAACCTCTTTACCAAGAAATAGTGATCATCACCAAGATGGCGAGTAGCACAAGCACTGGTGAGATTTTCTCTACATATATTACCACCACACATCACTATTATTGTTTTGCTTCCTTCATATCATGATCGGATCATTAATTAAGGTATAATTCTACATCGCTAATTATGTGTTAATTTGTGGGTTGATGTTATTGCATGCAGGTGGAGCAGCAGGGAAGAGTTCATGGCCAGAGCTGGTGGGGACTAAAGGAGAGGAGGCAGTAGCCACTATAATGAAAGAAAATCCATCGCTCAAAGCCCACACAATAAATCAAGGGTCCATCATCACCATGGATCTCCGTCGCGACAGGGTTCGTGTCTGGATTGATGAGCAAGGTGTTGTCACTGCAGCGCCTAAGATAGCGTAATTATACCTTCTTGGGCATTAATTATAATTTTAAATAAATAAAAAAGAATTTAAGGTTGTGCTTATGTTAATATTGTCCTATATGTATTGCTGTTTATATATTTCTGAAATAACCTAAAAATTAGTGTATATCAACAATGTGAAATTCTATAGTAAGGGTGTCATATATGGACCATCATATTAGCCATAAGATCATTTCATTAAACTTAAATGAAAGTTACTATTCAGAAAATAAAAGGGGCTTTTTTTTTTGGGGTTAAAAAAACAAAAAACAAAAAAAACTGCTTCAGTGTCTGAATAGCAATAGACAAACAGGAGTGTTGTAAAATAAACGTAGAGCTCTTTCGGTGTTTGGTTTTACTTATCCCATATATCCAATTTTGCTAAATTCTAGTAATTATATCAATTTTATGATTTTGGTTCTTATAGCATTTTCTTGCAATAGTATGCGAATAAATAAAAATTGATTCCATGGGTTCAAGTATTCTGTTGGTTTCATCTTCTACATCTGCTCAATTAGAATGTGAAGATTCAATTCAAAATTAACCAATTATGAATTAATGGGTGGAGAGGCCCAAGAGACGACTAAGACAAAAAATTTATCTTTGAATGTGAGATACTCTCAACATGCTCAAATATTGAAGGCTTTTTTCTTTCCGGTTCATACTATAGAAGAAGGGTTATTGTTAAGATAGTTATTGATAAATGTGGCACAAATTCTTTGATGGCTAAATGGTAAATGAAGTTATGGAAATTATAACATTTCGGTATTTATAAAGAAAATATTAAAATGGGTAAATGTGGGTTAGTTGGTCAGGGCAATGAACATGCCCCCTTACACTCAAGTTCGGTCCCTCTCCTCTTAGATTAGATTCATTTAGAGTAGATTATCACTTATATATTATAAAAATGGAAATCATTTATTGGAAATAACTACAAGCAAATGAAGTTATATAAAAGGGATCCTCGTTAAGGAAAACGAAGCGTTATATATACACTACAAAAAAAGTGACAACAGTCACCATTATTTGGTGACATTTGTTGGGGTTTTTGGTGACTAAAGCCTTTGGTCACCCCAGCAATGGATTAACGTGATGAGCAAAAATGCTCATAAACACGTGCCAAGTGTTAAAAAAAGTGGTGATCACACCTTGAGTTAACATGATGAGCAAAAATGCTCTCGTTAGAACGGTGCCTCTCATGCTCATACCCTAAATATATCTACCGAAATAAGAAAACAGAAAAGAATAGTAGTCATAGTCATTTGATTTGTAGTGTTAAGCCAAAATTTTCAAATATATCGAAGCTGCAAAGGATGGAGCAAATGGAAACACTCATAAAAATACAAGTAACAAAGCATAACCTGAAATCATTTCCTTAATTTAAAACCCAAGTGTTTGAGTGCTCCTCCTGTAATTAATACAAAATCCACTTTGAATTAATCCTAATCAACCTCTACGAGGTACCTGGTCGACAGTGTCGTGGCGATTAACGTGAACAACCTTTTAATATTGCCAGTAGGGAACTCAGTAATGATTACTTTTAACGACCGACGGGTTGTGGCCTTAACCCTGGATCTTACCCATTGTTGTTCGGTGAAAGTGCTAAAAGTAATTTGCGATTCTAAATTATATATTTAATAGTCTCAAACGAACTGATTAACTTTTGGTTAGGTTGAAACCAAAAGTGGCTTTTGGTTTTGCATTTTGACTATGATTTGTAAATTTTCAATAAAGTGAGTGATAATCATATGGCAAATGATAGCAAGAGTCTACCTAAATGTTGCTACATGATTTGTCATTCGAAATTCAATTGGCCAGGGATAAGGTGAAGTTCCCTATAGCCTCTCTGGGTCCTGGAAGGGTTTGTTTATAGAAATTAAATGGTATAGGATTTATCTATATTATTAGTGCTAAGAATGGGTATATGACTAAATATCTCTTTTCTTTATTACATAATTTTAGCTCATTCAATTTTATAATTTGTTTTTATCTTGCTTTTATTTTATCTTTTCTTACTTGTTTCAAATAATTATATTTCGAGTTAAAAAAGTTATTGTCTTGCTATTTAATTTTTCCAATACTAGAAACATACATAAATAAGGTTCAACAATACATCGATATAGTTGTATCCTCGAGATGAATTACATTGTTGACTATCCTGCAACATTTATAATATTTCTTAGTTAAGGCCACACATCAAGGTGCCATGGGGGTTCAAATCTGAGGCCATTAGTTTGCAAGTTAAGGCCCTTTGTCACTAGGCTAAACCCCATTGGCAAAGGTTTTGTATGTTAACTTGATGGGTAAGCCACTCAAAAGAATGCTATTGTTTGTGGAAATTGTGTAACAAAATCTGGAAAAAAAAATTCCTTTCAATATCAATCTGTGGCATTCTAATAAATCTGAGAAATTAATTCATAAATTCTTAGGAAAATATATGCAGACAATTCTCCAAGTAAGCCAGCCCCAGCCCAAAGGGTATGGGTCTTTTTCGTTCCCTTTTTTCTCTTCTTTCTTGGATAGGTCTGCTTGACCATTACTCAGCAACATACTATAGCTAGGGATATACATGAATTAATTCGTACCCAAAATCAAATGGACCACGCATGCAGGACGAGATTGCTCTATAAATACTATGTTTTTTTTTTTCCCTCACAAACACAAATAATTCACAATGGAAAGTGGCAGAAAATACCATATTTTGAAGATGGCTGAAATGGTCCTCATTATCACTTTGATTCTGAGCTCATCAAACACTTTCGTTCCAGCAATGGCTAGGCCTTTAAAGGATGAAAAGCCAGCATTGAAAGGTTTCATGCTGTACAAGATCGATAGAGGACCGGTGCCACCTCCTGGGCCTTCAAGATGCATTCCAGGCCACCTGAATGTGGATGGAGATTGTCCACCGTGAACCACCACTCCCATCCCAGCTGGCTATATATATAGTTAACATGATGCATTGCCCAGCTAAATACCATATATATATAAGAAGTCTAAAATGTAGCATGCACTTAATTGTTACGGGTCATATTAATATTCTTGATCAGTGTATATACTAGAATGTAATAAAACTGTAACATACAATATTCATTGAATAAAGTTGGATGCATCATGCATAAGCATATATACTATGGGTGATGTATAGAGGGAAATTTTCAGTCCACAGAAGACTACATGTATAAAGAAAAAATTATTGTCGCTAGACTGTCAATCTACACCGCTAAATAATGGCTCGTTTGGTAACTGTTTGAGGGTGGTAGAAATCCACCTAATTTGGGCAACTCTTGAAAATATGAAAATTGGCTGGGCAAGAGAAGAATATGTGGCCGGGCTAGAAGCTGAAGGTGCGGCCGGATATTTCTACAGGGCTGCGACCAAATGCAACTGGGCAGCCAAGGGAAGCTGGGGCACGGCCAGGATATGGAGCTGGGCACAGATGAAACTGGGCAACCAGGTTTTGGAGTTCCGGGGCTGTTGGAGCTCGCGGCCGGGCCTGTTGCAAAATGCGGCCAGATGTTAGTGTGGCCGGATCTATTGCAAAATACGGCCATGTGTTGTTAGAATATGGCTGGAGGCTAAAAAGTGGCTGGGCTTTTGAAAGTTGGCGGCCGAGATTTAGGGTGTGAAGGGTCCAAATTTTGGTCTAGGCCGAGGTTTTTTGGAATATTAGAACTATGCGGCTGAAGTCTGTAGGTATATTGCAAGTCAGGTTGGAGGGTTTCAAAGTTAAAGTCTAATATATATATATTATATAAATATACACAAATTATAAAACCCAAGTTGCTGGCCCAGCCACATATACATAGAAAGACTAATGTTCATGCATGTAAAAATTCATGCTTGGTGCCGCCGACTTATCACGATGGGCATCCTGTCATGCCAAGAGATCAAGGGTCTTGGCCCAAAACACCGATTCAAGCCCAGAATTTTTGGAGGATTATGTGCACGTGACAGAGGCCTCACAAGGAAAGAAATCAAAGAGTTTGATAATAACTCCGAATATTCCAAAGCAAGAAAGAATCAAGCATGTCAGAATATTTCAAGTAAGTGCAATCCCACGGATTTAGGGGAGCTTCGAAAGGAAAGATTTTCATAAAGAGTTGACCTTTGGCCATTCAATGGCCAGCCCATGGGCTGACGAGTGCCCTATATAAACCTTACTCGACGAAGGCAGAAGACACACAACATCAGACAGACAAACCTATCTTTCGTCTCGCACTTTTCTTTTCCTAGACTTAGGATTTTATTTTCAAGCACCTAGTGTAGCGAGTTCTTCCTTTTTCTAGTGTAAGTTTCAATTCTTGTTCAATTTATATTTTTGTGTCATTTAGATTCAAGTTTATTTTCATTGCTTTGCTTTTCATTGTTATCGCACTTCGATTAAGTTCCATTTCAAGTCTATTTTATTTTATCGTTCTTATTGTTCTTATCGCTTTTATTTTCATTCTCGCTTTATTTATTGCTTTGATTTATTTTATCGCACTTCAATTCTTGTCTTTACGTTTTTCGCACATTTAGTTTAATTGCACTATTTTTACTTAAAATCCTAAAAATCATAAAAACATCCGTACGAAACCTAACCATCCTCGAGCCCGAGGAAGTGAAAGAACCTAGGCCAAGAGGAGGTTCCTTGCTTGGCGGATCAATCGTTTGATCAGAAGTTAGAAGATATTCCAAAGCAAGAAAGAATCAAGCATGTCAGAATATTTCAAGTAAGTGCAATCCCACGGATTTAGGGGAGCTTCGAAAGGAAAGATTTTCATAAAGAGTTGACCTTTGGCCATTCAATGGCCAGCCCATGGGCTGACGAGTGCCCTATATAAACCTTGTTTGACGAAGGCAGAAGACACACAACATCAGACAGACAAACCTATCTTTCGTCTCGCACTTTTCTTTTCCTAGACTTAGGATTTTACTTTTCATG